GATTTGCCAATCAGGCGCCAGAGGCCGGGTAGGGAAAACAAGGCAGGGAGGAGGGCAGCGAATTGCCCAAAGTGGGGTATCACCCAGACACACCACGAGGTCAGTCTAACGGGAGGCTGTTTATTTTGAACATTCACGTAACAGCCCACGTGGCTCCTTCTCAGTCCAGACACGTGGCAATCAGGACTCCTGGCTTCTAGGATTTGCCAATCAGGCGCCAGAGGCCGGGTAGGGAAAACAAGGCAGGGAGGAGGGCAGCGAATTGCCCAAAGTGGGGTATCACCCAGACACACCACGAGGTCAGTCTAACGGGAGGCTGTTTATTTTGAACATTCACGTAACAGCCCACGTGGCTCCTTCTCAGTCCAGACACGTGGCAATCAGGACTCCTGGCTTCTAGCCTCTTGCACTAACCACTAGTCCCCACTTCCCTTCCAGAGCCGGGGAGAAAATGCAGGAGTCCTGGCTCCTTCCCTGCCACCCCACACACACCAACCACTAGCCTCCACTCTCAGAGCCAGGGAGAAAATGCAGGAGTCCTGGCTCCTTCCCTGCCACCCCACACACACCAACCACTAGCCTCCACTCTCAGAGCCAGGGAGAAAATGCAGGAGTCCTGGCTCCTTCCCTGCCACCCCACACACACCAACCACTAGCCTCCACTCTCAGAGCCAGGGAGAAAATGCAGGAGTCCTGGCTCCTTCCCTGCCACCCCACACACACCAACCACTAGCCTCCACTCTCAGAGCCAGGGAGAAAATGCAGGAGTCCTGGCTCCTTCCCTGCCACCCCACACACACCAACCACTAGCCTCCACTCTCAGAGCCAGGGAGAAAATGCAGGAGTCCTGGCTCCTTCCCTGCCACCCCACACACACCAACCACTAGCCTCCACTCTCAGAGCCAGGGAGAAAATGCAGGAGTCCTGGCTCCTTCCCTGCCACCCCACACACACCAACCACTAGCCTCCACTCTCAGAGCCAGGGAGAAAATGCAGGAGTCCTGGCTCCTTCCCTGCCACCCCACACACACCAACCACTAGCCTCCACTCTCAGAGCCAGGGAGAAAATGCAGGAGTCCTGGCTCCTTCCCTGCCACCCCACACACACCAACCACTAGCCTCCACTCTCAGAGCCAGGGAGAAAATGCAGGAGTCCTGGCTCCTTCCCTGCCACCCCACACACACCAACCACTAGCCTCCACTCTCAGAGCCAGGGAGAAAATGCAGGAGTCCTGGCTCCTTCCCTGCCACCCCACACACACCAACCACTAGCCTCCACTCTCAGAGCCAGGGAGAAAATGCAGGAGTCCTGGCTCCTTCCCTGCCACCCCACACACACCAACCACTAGCCTCCACTCTCAGAGCCAGGGAGAAAATGCAGGAGTCCTGGCTCCTTCCCTGCCACCCCACACACACCAACCACTAGCCTCCACTCTCAGAGCCAGGGAGAAAATGCAGGAGTCCTGGCTCCTTCCCTGCCACCCCACACACACCAACCACTAGCCTCCACTCTCAGAGCCAGGGAGAAAATGCAGGAGTCCTGGCTCCTGCCCTTCTCCCCTCCTTCCCCCCCATACACACACTCCAGCAGCCCAGGATCGCTAGACCAGCCGCAAGCCACAGGCTGCTGTGTGGTGTCTCAACAGCCACCGTAGCACGGGCCACATTCAGATCTCCGCGGAGCTCCACATAGCTGGGGCCTGGCTGCCCACCCCTTAGGGCCAAGAACCCTGGAGCCCGTGTCTCAAGAGCTGAGCGCGTGGGCAGCCGCCCAGCAGAGATCCCAGGGCACCCGGCTGATGGGCACAGCGCCCACAGCCAGGAGCAGGTGTTTTGACGAGGGATGTTGGTGTATATGCGGTTAAACGACCTGCACTCACCCTCCTCTCTATTGGAGGCAGCAGCGCAGGATGGTGGGCAAGCGGGAGCCGGCTTTCCCAGGAG